CGGAATTGATATATGAGTTAATTAGCTCAATAATCTAAAAGGGAGATGAATTTGCAAGAATAACCAAGGGCCCACAGCAAACTAAAGTTACTGTATTTATGGTCATCGGCAAAGACTCTTGTACCTCCAGATATTTGTTGCTAAGTTGAACGATGTGGTCTGACAAAAAAAGATATAATCTTGTAGGCTGGCTGCGAAGATTTTATAGGGTAGGGGAGATATCTCTCCATTAATCACAACCACACAAATTGTTTATGTCAGATGAACAATATACATTATAATAACAAATTACATATTTTGTTACAGGTTAATAGTAATTATATCATATATAAACATATAAATTGAGATATAACATTATGTTTTACACGATAAATGTAATGTTAGATTGATAACAATAATGAGTTATATAGATGATTAAATGTATTATTAATACTCTTAGCACGTTACATATATATTAAGGTCTAACATTATAATTTACTAGGTACAAAATATGTTAAACTGATAACAATAATGAGTTATATAGATGACTAAAGATATTATTGATATACGTAGCACGTTACATATAAGTTAACGTCTAACATTATAATTAACTAGGTAAAAACTATGTTAGATTGATAACAATAATAAATTATCTAGATTGTTAAAGGTGTTATTTTTTTAGTTAGTGTGCTAAAAATACATATAACATTCTATTAGATATATTAGCAGTTTAACAATAAAATTATAAAAATAATGCAGCTAGACACACATTATTATATATGTTAGCATCAATCTAATAGAATCATCGGTTGTTCTAGCAGTTGAATACGGAGTTGTTATTCCTTACAAAGAAAGTCAGAAAAGAAACTTAATTTGATTAACGATGGAGAAGTCAGGATGACTATACCGGTGTACAACAAAATCAATGTTAATTTTTGATTGAAAGTTCAAATCGAAGATAGAATTTCACCAGATTTGATTATATACAATAAATTTTGGATCTAGACTTTTCAATAAGCAGTTCTGGTAAGAGTGATTTGATATCGTTGGAGAAATATTATTTTCGAAGAGTAAATCTCGAAGATGAAAGTGAAAAAAAATACAATATAGACATACAAAATAGAGACGAAAAGGAGAAAGGGGAAAGGAGAAAGGAGAAATGAGAAAAGAGAATGGAGAAAGAGAAATTTGAGAGAGAAAGAGAAAGAGAAAGAAAGATGATTGGTTAGCCATATAGATTAGTAGGGGTGAAAATGTATTAAAAAAATTATACAGTGTCATTTTTTGAGCTTGGTCATTTCTGCAAATTGTGTTAGTGGGGTGGTCATTTCTTGTACTTATTCTTGATATATAGGATAATAATATGCATAAACAATTTAAGCATAACGAACTGAAACATCTGTGCTGCCTCTAAACTTTAAAAGTCAATATATATATATATATATATATATATATATATATATATCATCGACCCTCTATAATTAAAATTAATAGAGTTTTGATTAAATTTTTTCTAACCTTATAAATCTTAAAGAGAATTTGCATCCCTTAACGTTAAATAAGTCTATTTGCAGATCTAACCAATAACTGTTTCTTCTTATGTTTAATTTTCATCAATACAGAAAAGTCTCTACGTTCTTCATAATCTATAGATGGTTTTAAGTGAGATAATGACTGCCTACTCTATAAATCTAATGATATCTATTTTCAAATTTTAAATTCTTTTTTATAGAGGGAGAAGATATTTTATTTAGCAGTTTCAAAAATTGCTTTTCTTTAAAACATCACTCCGTCCCTTTTTAGGAGGTTCTTTTCTATTTTATAAATCTAATTCCACCATGAATCAAAATCATTGTCACCACCACTAACCAGCAATTCCTTAGCATATTGATCCCGTTTGAGGTTTTGTTATCGCAAACTTAATTTCGACTGCCAAACATCATCATCAAGCTCGATTTACAGTTATTTCTACTGCAGTGAAGGTAATCGATAGTTTTTCGAGTTCTTTTCTAGTTTCAATCATCACTTCTATGCATAAGGATCCCTCAATTTCATCAGGTTATGGTGGTTCGGAAGTCACGACGGCGGTGGAAGAGTACAATCCAGAGAAAAATAGGTGGGAAGTGATAACTCAAGCGACTCGTAAGAGATACAAAGGCATCAGAGTGGATTGAAAATTGGGAATTGCGTCAGTGGCTAAAAAGTCATTTGGGTCCAGGAAGTGGATGCGTCTTGGCGGCATGCGCGGCGGTAAAACATGTGCATGTTCTCAGCAGCCACGCGGTGGAGCTCTTATTTTGGCGATTTGATGCGGATCGTGGTAGCGGCGGATTCGAGGAATGGAAAAGGCTGAAAAGCCAGTTAAGGAAATAATCTTGTTTTTTCTCTAAAATTTGAATTAGTCTTTCAAATCATTGTTAGACCGTTAACATATTTGAATCATGTGTTATATTTATTTGTAGTGCACTAAGCAAAATAATAGAACCTTTAAACAATCTATATAACTCAGTATTGATATCAATCTAACATGTTCTCTTACCGTGTAAGAATAATATTAGATGTAAACTTATATATAAATTATTATTGTTATCAATCTAACATGTTTTTTATTGCGGAAATAATAATGTTAGATGCTAATTTACTTGGTCATATATAATCTAATAATTGTTAACCACTAATTTATTTGAATTTGAAATAGTTTTTCAAAATTAATGTTTGAGTGCTAACATGTTCAATAGTCGATAACAAGTGAATTAGCCATAATATATATATATATATATATATATATATATATATATATATATATATATTGCCACATGTGCTAATAGATTATATAGCAGAGCAACAAACCATATTATCACCTATAATTACGCAACTAGAGCAATATAGTGCAAGGGTCAATGAGATCTTCTTGATATTTGAGCATTAAGTGCTCTCTTCGGCAGGAAAACATTGAGTGGCTCACATTTTTTTTATAAAGATATTGCCAGATATTATAAAAGCTACTCCTTAGGTAAGCTACCCTATGAAATGATTATCTACCTATTAAAGAAATTAATTGTGGATGTGGCATAGATTTATCAGGGGTTTATGGGTAATTTTCAATAATGCCCAAAACAGTTTCTTTCCATTTCTGTGGACTCATGGTTAAATCGCAAATTTATGTCTCACCATGTATATTCAATTTATTGACCCAATCTTAGAACCAGTTATGCATCTTATTTCTTGATTTTTTTTGTTTAAACATATTATTATCTTTGTATTTTTCTAGCCTTATTTGTTATTTATAAAAGTAATGATATATTTTAAACTTTTAAGAGCATCTCTATTGGCGGGATCTGAGATGGTATTTCACAACTAAAGAAAAAGAGAAAAATAATGGAGAGAGAAAGCAAGGATTGGTTCTCAAATGAGATAGTCATGAGATACTTAAAAAACATTTGTCTCTCTAGTAGTAGTTTATCTCTTAAACTTAAAATAAAATTTAATTTTGTAACTGAATTATCTTAACATAATAATATTTTAGATTTGGGAACTCTTTCTAAGGTTCTAGCCAATGTGGGTGCTTTAAGAGACCTATATGTTTGCCAAGCAGATTCTGACCAGGATTACCAATCACAAATTCCATCACAAGTCAAAATAACATGAATAAAATTCTGAACTCATTTTTGTTAGTTTGGTTTGCTCAAAGCAACGATACTATATACTAAAACAAGAATTTCCATTTCAATTAACTAAAATGTCTACCACAAGCAACCATCTTCTGGATTATATGCAGATGTGGGTGCCACTAGCTGTATTTGCTGTATACGTGAATTCAGATCCACCACTTCCACAAGTCACCACAGCTCACGAATATTTACTTGGCCACTGGAATGAAAAAAAAAGAAAAAAAAAATAGGAGAGAAACAGATATTTTGGAATTTATGAAAACGAAGGGCTGATATACCATAATGTAAAAAAAAGCTGAAATGACATAATATAATAATTAATTTATTTTAGTTTTTCTTTTAAATACTAAAATCTTGGAAAATCATACTCTCTTTCTGAAAGTTCGATTATTTACATCAAAACTAGGGTCAAACTCATCTGTTTATCGGTTAATCCGATAATCCGACCCATTCAAATTTATTTTTGTTATTTGAATTAACTATTTCTGAAAACCATTTTCCTTTTCATTTTCTCTCATTTTCTTCCTTTTATTCGAACTTTCTTCTTTCCACTCCTTAGAATCGGTTTCTTTCGATTCAAACTCCTTCACTTTCTCAATTTCCCATTTCTTCCCTCGAAACCGTTTAAGCCCTAATCTTGCTTTCTAAACCCTGTAGAATTGTTTTTCTCAGGCGAAAATCGCGAATCCGAGAAGCCTTACTTGCGAGAATCCCGAATCTCCGATATATGGCGAAGGTGATAAAAAATGGCAAGGAGTATGACTCTACTTTAGCGGTGGAAGTTGAAAACCCATCGGTAAACAAAAACGAGAATCCTGAAACTCTGGCGGAAGGAAACCCGGCTGAAATGGAAGACCCAGAAAACGAGAACCCTACAAATCTGGCGGAAGTAAACCCGATGGAAATCGAAGAACCCGAAATCAAGAAACCTGAATCTCCAGCGGCGGAAGGAAACCCGGCTGAAATCGAAGACCCAGAAAATGAGAATCCTCCTGAAATCGAGAACGCCGAAGTGAGCACGGCCACACCTACTGCAAATGATGGTGCCGGCAAAATACCAGGAGAGGATGAAGCAGAGGATTAGGAAAAGGAGAAGGAAGAAGTGCAAGGGAACGAGAACGAAGAGGAAGAGGCGGAAGGAGTGGAAGACAACAAGAACAAAGAGGAAGAGGTGGAAGGATTGGAAGAGAACCAAGAGGAAGAGGCGGAAGCGAATTCTGAGAACCAAGAGGGAGAGGCGGAAGCGAATTCCAAGAACCAAGAGGAAGAGGTGGAAGGAGTGGAAGAGAACCAAGAGGAAGAGGAGAAGGAAAAAGTGCCACTAAACAAAGAGGAAGAATAAATGCGAGAGGAGGATGTATGAATGCAAGAAGTATGTTCGTTTAAGACTCCCATTCTTCTTGATTAAAATGTGTTTGGTATGTAGACAACTAGGACAAATATGTAGTTATATGTCTGTTTGGTCTGCAGATAAGTAAGACAACTTTGTGGATTAAGATCTGTTTGGTATGTGGACAACTGGGACAACTTTAGTTCAAATATATGATAGGTATGTGGACAACTATGACAAGAAATTGAACTAATTTATATAACATTGTGTTAGTCGTCTGAATTTCAGGATGCCGAATATGACAGCCAACCAATGGCACCTCAGAAGCTTTATTTTGGTCCAACCAAATATAGCAAGGCGTGTAAGATAATTACAAGGTGTGCAGTGAAGAGTGTACTTGATGTGATAGGGAATCTGCCAGAAGAGTTGGAGTGGTTCAAATCGCATCCGCAGTTCAAGCACTTGTTTCATATGTTTAAGGAGCCAAACCACATGAATCAAGGGTTGTGGATGCTTCGTCTTCACACAGCCTATACTGAGAAGCAAAACGAGGCATGGTTTGTGGTAAATGGAGTGCCTATTCGATATTCTTTGAGGGAGCATGCACTGCTATGTGTTCTTGACTGCCATGACTACCCTGCGGACTATAAGAAGTTGGAGAAACTGAAGTTTGTGCAAAAGCACTTTGGCAGGGATGACAAAATCAAGATCGCAGAAGTAGAAGCAAAGCAAGAGGAAATGAAGGAGACCTCTTTGGACAGGAAGAAGATGGCATTATTTTTGTTTTTATGCAAAGTATTGAAGGCGAAGTCAAAGGCTGATGGAAATATTGACCCATTCTTGCTAAGAGCAGTGGGAGATCTGAAACTGTGCAGAACGTTTTCTTGGGGGCATTACATGTTTGACAATGCTATGAAGGAGATCTAGCATGTGGTCACAAGTTCAATGGCAGCATAAAATCTAAAGGAGCTGAATGTCCAATCTTTGGTTTCATTCTTCCTCTACATGTACATCTCAGTTAATTGAATATCTGTTTGGTATGTGGACAAGTAGGATAACTTTGTAGATTAATACTTGTTTGGTCTGTGGACAACTGAGACAACTTTGTAGATTAATACTTGTTTAGTATGTGGAAAACTAGGACAACTTTGTAGATTAATATATGTTTGGTCTGTGGACAACTGGGACAACTGTTTAGATTAATTTATATTTAGTTTGTGGACAACTAGGACAACTGTGTAGATTAATTTTTTTTTGACTTTGTATATTCTTGCCTTTGAGTGCATTCCAAGTCTGGGAAGGAGATTTTGTGAAGCTGTACCTGCTGAGCCTAACTGTCCAAATATTTGCAAGCATAGGTTCACTGATGTAGCCATGAGAGGTATTCCAGTGGATGACATCAACGAAGCTATTGGCTCTAGTGTTGAGGTCAATGCTTTTTGATTATTGATATGTGTTTGATATTAAACATGGTTGGTGTTATTTGTAGTAAGTGGTATTAATTTGTTGATATTTTCAGAAAATTAGTAGCATTTTGGAGGCTGACTCGGATGAAGAAGATCTATTGGCGCAGATCGGAGATTCTGGTTTTGATGATGGTATCAGATTTATTGACATCATTGTCGAGGGTTGGATTGATCACTTAACCAAGAAGAAGAAAAAGATCGTTTGGAGAGAGCTGTATGAGGTTGATATTGTTTCTCGGGTTCAAGTCCCTCCTGAGAAACCAAGGGAAGATGAGCCTATATCAGTGGCTGAGCTGAAGGCGTCAGTGGTGGAGCTGAAGGCGTCAATGGAGAATAATTTTAAAGAGATTGTAGAGAAGGTTAAAGGCATGGATACAAGAGTGAAAACTCTTGAAGCGATGGTACTTCCATCATGACAGGGAGTCTCCGATACAGCACCAACACGCTCACCAGTACAAGATTCAGTGCACTCGCCAGGGCCACTAGACTCAGTGCACTCGCCAGCGCCACCAGCCTCAGTGCACTCGCCAGCGCCACCAGCCTCAGTGCACTCGCCAGCGCCACCAGCCTCAATGGTATCTCCACTTGTACCAGATCCAGCTGTTGCCACCACACCTCTTGCACCAGGACACGGTTCTTCCTCACTTGCACCAGGTTCCTCCTCAGCATCAGTACCAGCCTCCTCAGCACCAGCAATAGCCTGCTCACCTGCATCTTACCCAGATGAGTTTCTATACCGAACATTTGAGGAAGCAAGGGCAGCAGCTTACCAACCTGATAAAGGACCATTCAAGAGGACCAAGGCTACTAAGAGGCATCCGCCGTCTAATCCAGAGGAACCACGACTTAAGAGGGCTTGCCAACCAGATACATGTGATCCCCTTTTACAGCTGAAATAAGGGTAAAAGGATAAAGGGAAGTAGAATGTGTGGGTGAATTGTTGTTTCGTTTTTTTAGACTTATATTAGAATTGGGATTGTTGTTTGGTGTTTTTAGACTTTGGGTTTGTTGGATTTTGGTATCTTTATTTTTAGATAACTAAAATATTTGTCTTTGGAAGTAGTATGTTGGATTGATCGTTTAGACGACTAGGACAACATTGTTCGTGTTGGATATTTTATTTTAGTGTTTGTTTATTGGAATTTTTTGTAGATGCATTTGGACAACTAGGACAATGTTTTCTATTTTTAGGTAACATTTGGAAAACTGGGACAGTTACGTAATCATTACATTTGAACAGGGACAATTAAGTTTGAAAATGTTACATAGGAGTTTTAGGAATGGGATAATTGGGACAACATTGAACAGAGAAACATCAAAATCCAAACACATGAGGAATACAACATTCTACTTAAAAAGCTTACATTTAGACAACTGGGACAAAGGAGTTTTAGGAATGGGATAACAATGAGCAGAGCAACAAGAAAAGAAGAGGAAATCAAAATCCAAACACATTGTCAATACAACTTAAAAAGATACACTTGTTACTTAAAAAAAATATGAAACGACAACAAACACCATGAAAAATGTGATTATCATATATCCATCACCTCTGTTGGCAATCAATTCCTTCATCTTTCCAAGCTCTCTTTCTATCCCAGCTAGGAGCTTTCTGAATTGCCTAATTTTGGATTCATGTGTGTCAAAGGAGCTATTCTCGTGAATGCAGTTTCAGACAACTCTCATGTTCTGCATGCTTTTCATCCCAGATTTGAAATTATCAACTCGAATTTTGAGGCATGATATTTCTTCCGTAACAGCATCTTTCCACCATTTCCATATGTGGTCATAATTATGATGAAGTCCCTTATAACATTAACCCGAAATCAAAAAAAAATTCAGATTTTCCTAAACCCAAAACTCGAATTCGCGAATATTGAAACAAAATGGGAAGAAATTCAACTAATTCGTCATTGTCAAACAAAACCCTAACAAAACCCCAAAAGTTATTACCTCAATCGTCCAATCTGGACAAGTATACATTTTCTTTCCTCGTGTGGCTTCAGATTTCGATTCTCTGATAACTATAAGACGACCACATAAGCACGTTTCTCGCATACCCCAATCTCCATCAGTTCGGTAATATGAACTGCCCCACGAGTGTTTGGAAGAGGAAGAACCCAAACTGTAACTAGGCATCTTGTTCAGCGGCGGCTAAATCCTAGTTTTCGATTTAGGGAAATTCTTTTCTTTCCTAATTAATATTTTCTGAATTTCTTTATATAGGAGGCTACTTAACAAAATGCTGAGTTTCACTCTATCTATCTGAATCAACATATAATATATTTATTTTAACACATGTATCGGCGCCGCAATTTTTAATTTAACATGTGCTGCAAGTCGCCAAAACCAAGAATACCACATAGTTGTACCAATGCGTCATGTTGTCCAAAATTGTTCATAGTTGTCCATTTTGGTTATTTTAATTGTCCTGGGCATAATTCTATATTTTATAGTTGTCCACATGACTATACACTTATGTTTATCATTTAATTGTAGATTACAATAAAATTTGAACAAAATCATTTAAATTGCGTTTTCTCCCTCGTAAGATGGTTCTATTATGAAAGAGTTACATGTATCATATGAAGTTGTTGATGGGAAATCCATACATTGTTTCAACAAACCAATATTATGTTGTCCATGTTCATTTAACATTGTTTTCTTATATATTATAAAGGTTAAGTGTTTTATTTGTTTATTTTGTTTAATTTGTTAGGTTAACCATAATTTTGACATGTTTAATTTTTACACTTAGTTGTACTATGTTGTCCATTTGTTCCATTCCTTTAACAGATTGAAATTTAGAAATAGTTGTACCTTGTTGACCACTTGTTCCATTATTCTGACAATTTTAAAAAACACTTAGTTGTACCTACATGTCTAGTTGTCCTAATTTTCCAGAAAATACAAATGCCATTTCAAATACCAAAACATGTAGTTGTACCTACATGTCCAGTTGTCCTAATTTTCCAGAAAATACTAATGTCATTTCAAATACCAAAACACGTAGTTGTACCTACATGTCCAGTTATCCTAATTTTCCAGAAAATACAAATGCCATTTCAAATATCAAAACACGTAGTTGTACCTACATGTCCAGTTGCCCAAAGCAAATATATACTTGAAATTATTTCTGGCATCCAGTTTCACACATGTTACTGTCCTAGGATTAACAAAATGCAACATGTAAAGATAACAATACAATTTTTGATAACTTTCTTCAGACTGCTTCACCTCACTGATAACTAGTTTTTTCCCTCTCAAGGCAGTAGAATAGGACACATTAATGTGAGCTTCATTTTGAACAACTTTGATCAAAGCTTTAGGCGCATAGGTGTCTACTTCACCTATATAGGCCTCATGCAAAACATCTGCTACTACTTGTGGTGTGTCTTTCCTTTTATTCTGAATTGTTCTTGCAACAACCCGAGAGCATGTATGGATATTCATATACACTATAATACTGAAATAAGTAGAATCCTACATTCTTACAGCATGTAGATACCATGAACAACCATGTTCAGTTTAATGTCATTTTAGTATGAGTCTCCCGGGATCAGACTTTACAGTTTTTACCTCAAAACATCCCTTATGTGAAGCTCTATCGACTAAAACTCGTAAAGCTTCCTTTGAACGAATGTTTTTTAAAACCAGCGCCATCCTCCCATTCTAGAACAAACCGAGTTTGTTCTACAGGCCGTGGAGGCTCAACATGATCATGTTCATCTGTATATTCATGCATACCTTCCGAGCCGTCCTCGTCCGCCTCATTCTCATCCAGTACCGCATTCTTATCCAGTACAGCAACTTCATGTAATACCCCTAAATCAACATACTTTATCAGCTTTTGTTGTCCCTCTGCTTCTTCCGCAATATCAGCCACCTTATCTGCTCAGGGAAGCTCCTTACATAAATCGCTTGTCTTTTTCCTTTCCATATCATCCATTACCTCCACATTCAGAACAGATCTGAGTTCCTCTTTATCAACAGTTGTTAGATAAACATAAACATCACCATCATCGACAATACATGACTCCCTACAAGGCTTAGCTACCAACGGTATATAGCTCAATCTCAGCTTCCTCGTACTGTCGTTCAACCCAATCTTCTTGCATATACCATCTACAAGCACGAAATATATGTTAAATCGTCCATAGTTAAGTTTCAAAATGATATAGCATATATGAGATTTCTTGAATTCCATTTCAACTCTTCTCCTTCTGCTGAGTAATACCCTCCATAATCAAAATGTATATTTGTGCGGCTCGTCATCCTCTTCTGGAAATCTTGGAAATACAAAAACAAAAGGTTCCCAATACTCAGCTTTCTCTCACTTGTACCAATTGTCCCAAATCTACCAGTAATAAATTTGTACCAGTTGTCGGACAACTACCAGATATAATACTTGTACCTATTGTCCCACATCTATCAGTTATACCATGTGTACTAATTGTCCCCCGCCTCTTAGTTATACCACTTGTACCAATTGTCTCACATCTCTTAGTTATACAACTTGTCCCAATTCATCATTCACAACCTAGAACTACGATTCACCTCGATTCAGCTTGATTCATCTGAATTCAACAACAAAATCAACTAATCGACCCATATAGGTATTTAAATTATCCAATGTGCATACTCAAACTCCCAAATTTCACAAATCGAACATCTAAATTCTAAATCCCCAAATTTTCGTTTCATACTTAATAACTCTGTAATCGAGCTTGAGGGCGCTAGAAGAGGACGAAGACGAGTGCAGATGAGGACGACGATGCGGTGGCTGCTTTAACCCGTCCCTAAACCCTAAAAACCTAGTCATGGAAAAACCTTATAGGACAAAAACCATAGCAAGGAAAAAATGCATTCACGCGTTTCTTCTTTTGAAGTATTGTTCTTTATATGTTTATCTTTTTGCGTTTTCATTTGCTGCCTCGTTAAAAACCTCGTCATAGAAAAACTCATAAGGATAAAAACCATGATAAGGGAAAAAGAGTGCAGTTATGCATATCATCACAATTCTCCTCCTGGAAGCATCATCTACAGGCAATGCATTCCAGTTATATACATCATCTTTTTGAGATCTTTACAAATAGAGCCTTAGTGAACAAACTCGTATGATTGTCATTCTCGGGTCATTGGACTTCTGGTCTACAGTTTGAGTTGGTCATGCTGTCTTTCAAAATCTTCTTTTGATTAATATAACTTGACCAAATAAATTTTCAGATAAGGCATCCTTGATCCTTCTGAGATTTTTATCAATACATTAATGAATGTGATTACATCCATGACCGGAGAACACCAATTTCTGGTCTTTGAGAAAAATTTTGTGCCACAAACCAAGCTTTATATTTTGTGACTTTGTTTTTGATACGAATTCCCAAAGAACGGAACACTCTTGGTCGGTATCGGATGGATAGATCCTTGACTCCAGCTGGATCTCGGAGCAGATGCTAAGGCGTGAGAGTAAATCTCGAAAATCCTTAGGCCCAAACTCGCGGAGAGTAACTTGGAACAAGGGGGTGGAACAAAGAGAAAGAGTTCGCCAGTAAAAGGATGTTAGGGCGTGGGAAATGGATTCCCGAAAATCCCTAAGCCCCGATTACTACTAACGGAAACTTAAACTTTGTGGGTGAAGGCTGCGTCAAGTTCTATGGAATGAACTTGATAAACCGAAAGGATTCAAGAGGCTAACCACCTAAGGAATGGAAAAGTTCAAAAAAAGAACAAAGGAGAAATCTCAGATTTTATTTGATAAGTGAATGTCGAAAATGAGGAGGGGTACAAGCCTTTATATAGCAGGCGAAGTAGTTCAAGAGACAAACTCGAAAATGACAGAAAAATTAATAAAGTCTTTGACTGAAATAAATAAACTAAGGACTGACTCTTCGGCTGGCCTTTGACTGACTCTTGAATTGCCAAGCC